AGAAACCCCACCCACCTCACACTCTACACCTTCTTTGGCAAGTACAGCAGCTGCTTCCAAACAGTGTCCGACAGGTCTTGAGTGTGACACTAATGTAACATGAGTTCCTAGAATAGAAACAAGTGTTAAAAAAAAAAAAAAAAGAAAAACCACCTTAAGATTTAAAGCTTTTCTCTGGGCCTCAGGCTCCTTTCAAGGTAATGTTAGGATCCTCTTGTAAATTTAAGTTCCTTAAATTTATTTGAAATGTTAAGTATTCTATGCCCATACGTAGCATGAAGAGTGGTAGCAGAAGGACTGTGTGAAGACATAACTTAACCCTTTAATTCACGGAACTGAGGTGGTATTTAATATAGTTTTCAGATTATCCTTTTCAAACATTCATATAATTCAGTGGTAAATTCTGAACAGGTGGGCTGAAATACTACAACGATCTCTTCTGTGTTTTTGACAGAAGTTACATACTAAGATAAAAAAAAAGCTTTTTAGACATCTTTATACTAAGGAACAAATCTTTTAGGAAGGTACAGTTTTAGATAAGATATAGAGAATCAAGTGATTTTTCTTTATATGGGCAACAGAACAATGAAGTATACTACAGTATAAAATAACATTTGAACACTTAAGATTTGAAACGTTTTTCTGTGCCCCAAGACAGCAGTATGAACAGCAAAAAGGCTAAAAAAAAAAGTCCCTAAGCAGTTCAGTTAATAAGGAAACAAACTGTATTCTCAGCTTACCTTGCCTTTCTATTTTAGCTTTTCCAATTGGAACCACAAAATCCTTTGACTGTGCCTGTTCAGACATTTCAAAGGGAACACCATACAGTAATTCATTTTCCAGCATCACAACTAAAAGAAAACATACTTGGATTAATGCACACATCTGCAGGCAGAGGACTGTACTGATAGTTAACGGTACTGCAGCAGACTAGCTCAAGATACTAAGCCCATTCACGTAACAAGGACTTAGAGTATGTTTGCAGAAGCAAAAAAAAAAAAAACAACTAATCACAGTCTTTACTTCAATGCTGAATTACTTAAAAAATTGTCTACAATTAGTCTTAAATGAGATCAGATATTTAACTTTTGGTACATGACGGTAGAATCACTAGTTTTAGAAAGGTCTTTGATTTTGCATGCGTGTTTAAGAGGAACAAAGGCAAAGGTTGCCCTCCTTTTAATTAATGACATTCTGAATTTATCACGTGAATTTCATTAAAAATTAGTTACATAGACATTGTATATGCAGGAACACCTCCTGAGTCATCTTCATCCTTTTTAACCCCTTTACGATAGATTCATAAATGCTTCTTCCAAGTTTCCTGTTTGATACCAAACTGGCATTGAAGACACATAGGTGGCAACAGCACAAAATTAGAGTCTACTGCTAGCAAGCCAAGTACCTGTTAGGAAAAAGTTAAGTACTTGAGTCAATACTTCTGTGCCTTTGTAACTACCCTAAAGCTGCAGTAAAACCTTAAGTGTTTTAGGGTTTAACAATAGTTTTTTTTGTTTGAAATGGGGTAGGAGGGAAAAACAGACATTCTTTTCAGTATCAAGTGCTAGGTATTGCGGTGATCTGCCTGTGTTCACCTGGGTTATCGTCCCGGACTGATGCTTTCAGCAGACCTTTGGCATCTTCTGAGCTCCAAGGACTAACAACTTTCAGTCCCGGGCAGTGCCCGTACCAAGCTGCGAGCGAGGCGTGGGTGTTGGCGGGGGGCCCCCCCCAGCCGATGCCCCGTTGGGGCCCCGGAAGACGATGGGAACAGCGATTGATCCTGCAGACATGTAACAGGTCTTGGCAGCGGAGTTTATAACCTGATCAATTGCTTGCATGGAGAAGTTGAACGTCATGAATTCGCACACTGGTCTCAACCCTGCCTATTAAATATATTAGAATATATATTAGTATGTTTTTACGTAAACATAATTTAAATGTTTAATTCAGAAGGAATGCAAATTTACAAACCATAGCAGCACCGACAGCAATTCCTGTGAAGCCC